AGCCCAGTGCCCCCCAGGGCAGTCCGATGTCAGAGCCCGGGCGTTGTTCGGTGGCTCCCATGAGCCTTTGCAGGAAATGAGTGACAGTCCGCGCTGCCCATGGGTGTGTAACTGGGGTGCAGAGGCTGCTTCTGCCCTAACACCGTCCCCTCCCTCCCAGGTCACTGTGCGGGTGAAGGTGGAAAAAGCCAGTGTGGAGGAGAGGCCGTGTGCAGGAGCATCATGGGACATTCCCGCCCCCCCGCTGCCTCATCCCCAGGAGGCGGCCACACACAGCCAGCCTGGCCCTGAGCCGCCCTGTGTCCCCAAGGACGAACCGCAGCCGCCCCCAGGTATGGCGGGATGGGGGGAGGTGACGCCTTTAGGGCAAAGCGCCTGTGGAGGAGGGGCCCCGAAGGGCCAAGGGGCGTGTGGATGGAGGGGACAGGGGCTGACGTGGGGGGCACGGTGCATTGGGAGGGCTGGCTTGGGGATAGACATGCAGGAAGGAGCCAGCTCTAGGGGATTGTGGGTGTGGCAAGGAGGTGTCTTCTCACTGTCTGCCCCTTGGTCTCTATTCCCCATCCCTCAGCAGCTGCCGAGATGGAGGAGGTGAATCTGCAGCAGAAAGTTCCCAAGGAGGCCAAAGTGCCCAGCACCTGCCCCCCTAAGTCAGCTGGGGGCAAGACCCCTGGGATTCAGGGCAGGGCTGATGCCCCCCAGCCGCCGAAGGAACTCACCCAGCGTGCCCGTGACCACGACGCCACGTCTGGCTCACGCCCAGCCCCGGGCCCTCACCTCTGCTCCCAGTGCGGGCGAAGTTTCCGCCAGAGCTCTGCCTTCCTGGCGCACCAGCGGACCCACACCGGGGAGAAACCGCATCAGTGCCCACAGTGTGGGAAGAGCTTCTCCCGGGGCTCCCAGCTCACCCGCCACCTGCGAATCCACGGGGCGGAAAGATCCCACCGCTGCCACCAGTGCAGCCGGAGTTTCTATCACAGCTCCGAGCTGGCCAGGCACCGGGCCTCCCACAGCAAGGACCAGCCCTATGGGTGCAGCCAGTGTGGGAAGAAGTTCCGTTGGCGCTCCGATCTGGTGCGCCATCAGATCACCCACACTGGCGAGCGCCCCCACGGCTGCCCCGA